GCAGTGTGTGCAGGAGGCAGCTGATCAATGTTTCTCTCTCATTGATGTTTGTAACTCTCTATCCCTTTCCCTTTCTCTCTGTAAAGATCAATAAAAATATATTTTTTAAAAAAACACAAAAAACAAAGACTTATATTTTTGATATTTATTTTATATATTTAAATGCCATTTAACAAAGAAAAATCAACCAAAAAAATGAGTTCACGTGTCACCTCTGACACGCGTGTCATAGGTTCGCCATCACTGGTATAAATCTAAAGTGTACAGCATAATGACCTGACTTAAATATACTATGAAGTGATTGCCACAATACTTAATTAATGTCTATCATCTCAGAAAATAAATTATATTAAATATAGTTTGTGAATGTCTGATTCCTCAAGTATAAGTTCGTGGAAGGTTGGACAGTACTTTATTATCACAAGTTCTCGAAACCACATTTGTTGAATTTGACTCATTCACTTATACCCACTCTGAAATAAATCCTGAACTGCTGGGGTCCAACCCCAGCAGGTCCAGGGGTCCCCAAAGGTGTGGACGGAGTCGGCAAAGAAGGAATGACACAGGGACAGTGTTCAGTTGATCAGCATAGTTGGGTTCTCTAGCCAGGATCTCCAGCCAAGTTCTGTAGCCATGTTCTCTCACTAGGTTCTCCAGCCAGGTTCGGCCCAGGCTCTCCAGCCAGGCTCGGTCGCCAGGCTCTGTCTAGGCTCTCCAACCAAGCTCCGCAGCCAGGTTCTGTCCAGGATCCCCCAACATGTTCTTTCCAGCAAAGCTCTTCTGTCTCTAGGTTCTGTGTGTAGGTTCTGTCTTCTGAGTTCTGTGTCCTAAGTTCTGTCTCTCGGGTCTGTCTCTCGGAGAGGTTTATTCCCTCCCTAACTTCAGGGGGAAATCCCTACCTGGGGAAACAACCTTTCTCAGAGAGGTGGCCTTGGTTAAAACACAGCGCCAAGAAGGTGAGCAAACATACTAAGAACAGTATGCCATATATGCCAGGTCCCTTGAAACAGCAAGGATGGACTGGCTCCCAGCACTGAACATGGTTTAAAAGCTGTGTTTGCATCTTTAATATCTATACTGAGATAACATTTGATTATAAAAACTAGATTTCTACTTTTCATCTTACTATTATTTTTAACTACTACAATGAAAAATACAAGAAAATAACTCTTAACAATGTAAAACAAAATATATTTATTTATTTTAAAGGATTTACATATTCATGTTATGTTCGGGTTGGAATACTGTTTTTTGCACATAAGTTTATAGACTGATACGTGAGTTAACTATGCCCCCTACTGACTGAATAAGTATTTTGAAAACAAAATTAACATTACAAAGAATAGAGAACATGGCCCACACAAATGCATCACATAAAGACTATATGTACCTTTATAATACAAACGGATGTCATAAAAAGGACCTTTCAGATCTTAAATATATTTAAGATAGAGTTTTTAGAGAAAGGGGGATTTGAGAAGAAAGAAGTATAATTTTGAACTGACTCATTCAGAATCACATTACACAACTTTAGGAATCATTTTTTATATAATATTTTATACCAATGGTTCTCAACTAGGGAATTTTGCCAAGGACATCTGCAATGTGTAGAGATATTTTTGGTCATTACTGGGGAGGTGCTACTGACATCTAGTGGGTAGAGGCCAGGGATGCTACTAAACATCTAAAAATGCACAAGCCAGTCCCCACAATAAAGACTTCACCTTGTCCAAAATGCTAATAATGTTGAGACTGAAAAATCTGCTCTACATGAACATTCCCTCTCAAGTTGTGTAACAAGCTAACAAAGTCAAATGGAGCATTACGACTTGCTTAAACTTTGTTGAATGGCTCAAAGACATTACGTCTCTGATATCAAAAACCGTAATTTTGCCCTTTTTATTTGGGCTACAAAATTGTAGTCTAGATAGTTTCACATGTGCATCTTTTAGCTCTTTCTAGGGATGATTCAATCTGTGCATAAATTTTTGATCTGCTAATGATATTTTTTAAAGATATTGGGCTTTCCATCTTACCTGTGTTTCCATTTCCATCATCCTTTGTTTTATTTCTCTTATTTCTGCCTGTGTTTCTGCTTCTCTAAGTCGAATGGTCATCAATTCATCTTGTAACTCATTCACAGTATTTTTCTTAGGTGGGTCTTTCCATCTCCCAGTAGTACGAGCTAAGTGGCGCTAAAACACAAAAAATCATATTGCAACAAATATTTCCAGTATCAAAATAAGAGCTAACTTTACTGAACAATTATTTTAGATCCAGTAGTATGTTAAGCACTTTATACACAGTATTTTATTTAATTCCCAGAAACATCTAAAAAGTTAGGCACTATTATCTTTATTATACAGGTATGAAAAAAATGCAAATTGTGATTAAATAACTTCAGAAAGGTCACACTGTAGATCTCACTGGCAGTAAGTAGAAGATTTGGGATAACTCAGATATAGTTCAATTTTTTAATACTGTGAATTAATTATTATAAACAATACAATTTTTACCCTAATTTTTAATGAGATTTTTCACATTATTTTTAATGAAATCCCAAGAAAAGGAAAAAGTGGGGCTATTCATAAATTAAGGAAGCAATATTAGCAGTTAATAGCAGTGTTCTAAAAATACCTGTGGCAAAGGTACAGGTTATTTATTTTTAATTTCCAGTTTATTGCTGTTTGATACTTGACCAAAAAAATTATGACAATGTCATGGATTAATTTCAGTCTTTTCTAGATGCATCACTTACCCCAATTTCAAACCAAGATCACTCTTCTGAAATGCCGTGTAGTTTCTGTTTTCTTCCCGCTCTCCCTTTCTTATAGCATCTGCATTTTTGTTCGTTGTCAACAGTTTCCCTCATACGTGAATACATTTGTTGACATATAACTAGCTAAATCTCTGACCTATTTTGTGAGATACCAATTTCCAAAATAAGTTACAGCCCTGACTGGCATCGATCAGTAGTTAAAGTGTTGGCCTGTGCACCGAAGGGTTGCAGATTCAATTCCTGGTCAAGGGCACGTACCTGGGTTGCAGGTTCAATCCCAGGCCCCTATTGGAGTGCATGCAGGAAGCAACCAAGCAACCAACTGATGTGTCTCTCTCACATTGATGTTTCTCTCTCTCTGTCTCCCCCAGACCCTCGGGAGAGGGTTAAAAAAATAAAAAGTTATGCCCTAACCGGTTTGGCTCAGCGGATAGAGCATCGGCCTGCAGACTCAAGGGTCCCAGGTTCAATTCTGGTCAGGGGCATGTACCTTGGTTGCAGGCACATCCCCAGTAGGGGGCATGCAAGAGGCAGCTGATCGATGTTTCTCTCTCATCGATGTTTCTAACTCTCTATCCCTCTCCCCTCCCCTCTGTAAAAAATCAATAAAATATATTTTTTTTAAATAAATAAAAGTTACAAATTTATATTGGTGTCAGCCTTTTACTATCTCATACTTAAAAATGGATTTAATATCAACAGAAGAAATATGTACTATATAAAGGATTATTTCTTTATAGGTTTTTAGAAAAAATTATATAAATTACAATGATATGACAGCAAAAATATGATGATCTCCATTTTATCTTCTTTAATTATAAGAGTTAAAAAGGGAGAAACAGTTAAAGGTACTTGCAACTTATAAATTCTCTCAGTTGTGTACTTTATACAGGGTCTTTCATGCTTTAAAGTCATATCCCAGTGTTGGTCATCAATTACTTTAAACTCATACAAATTGAATGAATGTATTTTACCCTCTTTTTAGAAAGCACACAAAACATATTGATATACCTGCCAGTGTTCCTCTAAATCTCTGACTTGTTGTCTAAGTTCTTTCAAACCCATAATAGCTTCTGCTTCTCTCAGTTTCACAGCAATGAGTTCTTCCTGAAGCCTTGCAATGTTATTCTCATCAGGAAAGGAGTTGTTTCTCTAAAGCAAGAAAAAATTTAACTTAGGATTTTTAAATGTAAAGAATAAAATAAAATAAATAAAGCATATAAGAGCTATTTTGTCCCATATATAATTATACTTAATTTTATTGAGATACTAGAGGCCCGGTGTATGAAATTCGTGCACTTGGGGGAGGGGGGTCCCTCAGCCCGGCCTGTGCCCTCTCACCTTCCAGGAGCCCTTGGGGGATATCTAACTGCTGCAGAGGTGAGAGAGGCTCCTGCCACCACCACTGCACTTGCCAACCGTGAGCCCAGCTCAGGGCTTATGGCTGAGTGGCGCTCCCCCTGTGAGAACACACTGACCACCAGGAGGCAGCTCCTGCACTGAGCGTCTGCCCCCTGGTGGTCAGCGCATGTCATAGTGACTGGTGGTTCCACTGTTTAGTCAATTTGCCTATTAACCTTTTATTATATAGGATAATTCATAAACCACAAAACTTATTCTTTTTAATATAGACTAGTCGGTGGTTTTTAAGAGATTCACAGGGCTGTATAACCAACATCTTGATCTAATTTCAAAACATTTTAATTACTCCCAAAAGAAACCCTATACCCATTACCAATCACTCCACATTTCCCCTCCCCCCAGCCCTTGGCAGCCCTTATTCCTTCAGTGTCTATGGATTTGCTTATTTAGGACATTTTCCTATAAATGAAATCATACAATAGGTAGCTTTTATAATTAGTTTCTTTCATTTGTCATTTTTTAAGATTCATTCCTTTACTTTTTGCCAAATAACATTCCGTTCATTATATGGATATACCATATTTTATTTATACATTCATCAGTTGACAGAAATCTGTGTTGCTTCCACTTTTTGGCCAGTATGTACAAGGCTGCTATGACTGTGTAAAAGTTTTGGTGTGGACCTGTTTTTAATTCTCTTGAGTATATACTAAAGAGCAGAACTGCTGAATCAAATGGCAATTCCACATTTAATTTTTAAGAAACTGTTAATCTTTTCCAAAGCAGCTGCACTATTTTACATTCCCCCAGGAATGTGTAAGGCTAACTACTTAATTCTGAGAACACAGAAAGTCTAACTCTACTTTGTTTAATAATACTAATCAGTGTTACAAACCAATAGAATTAAAAATGCTTTTCAACATGACAATAAATTTACTCACCTGTGGTTAGGACTCCAAATGAAGCATAACATCATTTACATTTTAAAGATTCATGGAAAAGAATAGCCTAAAATCTGTTTTGTTGTATTTTCTCAGCATGTCATTTTGGAGAGGAGTATAAAATCTGTGAGTTAGTCACTATTTATGTCAATAGTTACAAAATTAATACTACTATTAGGTTAGGTGACTTTTAGATTACTCTCATACCATACTGAAAGACCCACCTTAAGAAATAGGGTAGCCCTGATTGGTTTGGCTCAGTGGATAGAGTGTCAGCCTGCAGACTGAAAGGTCCCAGGTTTGATTCTGGTCAAGGGCATGTACCTTGGTTGCAGGCACATCCCCAGTGGGAGGTGTGCAGGAGGCAGCTGATCGATGTTTCTCTCTCATCAATGTTTCTAACTCTATCTCTCTCCCTTCCTCTCTGTAAAATATCAAAAAAATATATTTTAAGAAAAAGATATAGGGTAGCCCTGAATTAAAATGCTCTGGGAGGTGACCATGAGATCCTAAATGAGATGCCCAGTAAAAGCTCCATAGGTAGCCGAAACCGGTTTGGCTCAGTGGATAGAGTGTCGGCCTGCGGACTGAAAGGTCCCGGGTTCGATTCCAGTCAAGGGCATGTACCTTGGTTGCGGGCACATCCCCAGTGGGGGGTGTGCAGGAGGCAGCTGATCGATGTTTCTCTCTCATCGATGTTTCTAACTATCTCTCTCCCTTCCTCTCTGTAAAAAAATCAATAAAAATATATATTTTTTTAAAAAAAAAGCTCCATAGGTAAACTGAGGTACTAATGAGACTAACTTGAATCTATGAAATTTTCTATCTCTGAATAAATAAAGTGGTTCTTGCCAACTACACATTTTTATGATGAACTTTAAATATTTTCTCTATGAAAAACCAAAAATTTACTGCATATGCATAAAAAGAGAGCCTTGCACGAAGAAATTAATCTTAGGAAGCACAAAACCTTCCAATTTCCTTTCTATCCTATGCCATGAATACCAACAAAGCTCCTTAAGAAATCCATTTTCAAAATGGACTCAAGGACATTTCTTACTACCAAAAATTCAAAACAGAGAGGCCCAGTTTCTTATCTACATCATGGAGCCCATAAAACTCCCAAGTTAGAGACCAAATATCCTGTTAGGCATTTTCACAGTCTTATTGGCTGTTTTCTCAATAAACAGAATAAATTTTCCCCAAAAAATGTAAAATAGCAAGCAGATTTCAAGCAAAATTATTCCACTACTGACTGTAGTTATTTCCTGCTCTATTTCCACTATTTGCCTAACCCTCAACTTCTTTAATGACTTTGAAAAGAGATAAGTTAGCTTCCGTAGCATACCTCAAGCTAAGATCTTCCTGAGGTGGCTTACTATACCTTGGGCAATTGCGACAGATATACTCAGATGAAATTCTCCCTGAAATGTTTATGTATTAGTCATATCCAATCTCTTGCAGAAGAAGATATTACAATATTTGAGAACAGTTCATTTCTATCCCCTAAGTATCTCTTCTCCAACATTTAAATATTATTCATATCAAAATTATCCTGTTTTCCTGTAAAAGGGCTCTAATCTCTACTTTTACCCTTAAATATGGGGCTTTGAGTAGTATGGCAACAAAGAATAATTGGGAATCTTACTTTTTTCCTCTCATCTCTCAGTATCTAATATGTAAGGTTTCTAATGTGTAAAATCACCAAATCCAACTGAACTGCTCAATAAGCACTTAAATATCTATCACATGTCCCTTTAATTTGGGAGTAACAGCATTTATGTTGGTCTCACCTTCTCCATATCCAGGACTTTATCCTGCATCTCCTTTAGTGCACACTGAGCCTCGGCTTCCCTCAGACGGGCCTGAACCAATTCCTTCTCCAGCTGTAGCACAAAATCTTCACTGTAGCTGGAACTGCATTTATGCTACAAATTACAGACATATACTGAAATTTCATGAAGCATAAACGTACGTATAATAGAAATAAATGCAATGGCACAGTACAGTTATTAAGAGCAATCAAACATAAAAGTTCCATCTACCCAATATTTTTAGCATATCTCCTCCAAATAACTTTTCAATGAATAAAGAAGTTTGACATCCATAAAGATGATCACATTATTGGGTGTTGGCAACCAGTTATTACACTCATTAAATCCAATTTATAGAAAATGTCTCTTTATCTTTCTATCTATCCAGATACTAAGAGTTTGTCCTGATTCTATAGACCTGCACTGTGCACTGTACAATAGTGTAACCATTTGTCACCTGTGGCTCCTGCGCACTGAATGTGGCTCGACCAAGTTGAGAAAGGCTGTAAGTGGAAAATACAAACTGGATTTTGAAAATATGAAATACAAAAGGTAAAATATCTCATTAATAACTTTTATATTGATTACCTGTTCAAATAATATTTTGAATATACTGAGTTAAACCAAAATATTCACTTTTCTGTAATTATTAATTGCTACTTTTAACGTGGCATTTTAAATGCCTATGTGGCTCATTATATTGCTATTGGACACTACTGTTATGGACTACACATAAGTACATATTTACTGAAAATTCTATTATAATTTAATAGAAATAAAAACAAGGGATCCACAATAATGTGAACCATCCTAAATCCCAGCAAAACAAAAATGTATTTTCTTTTAGAAATGTAGATCTCTTTTTAAAAATATGCATAAAAATTAGTGCTGGAAGCAGAGAAAAATACAGATGCTGCATGAACAAATTAACCATAGAAGCATGAAACCTTTCCATTTCCTCTCCTATGCTATAATGTGAATAGCAATGCAGCCACTTAAAAAATCTCCTTTTACTACTAAACCGGTTTCTACACAAAAGTTGTTCTAAAAAAAGCAAAAATATGTCAATTCACCACTCTAAAAGACTTCCTAAAATAAAGTATCACTTTACATTTAACTAATGTAGTAAAGAAAAAGTGACAACTCAAAATTTCAAAATAGAGTCATAGAGAACGATCTCCTACTGAACTAGCATGAGAATGGCTCCTTTTATTCTTCAGAATATTAGGAACAAAACAAATGCCAGACTAAAACTCTATTTTAAAAAAACTATTAAGTGCCTAATTAAAACATATTGTACTCCCTTACCCCAGTTACCCAAACAGATGATGTCATTTTTTAAAATGTGAACAGTTCACTTATTAAGCAAATTAGGACTTTTTAATTCAATACATTACACATTATTTCTCCTAGTAATTTTCTGATACAATTAAAACATTTCATTACAAGAAATACATCTGCAACAAGTATATCACTTTAGCAAATACTTACCTTACCAAATGGGGGAAAGGCACTCTTTTGGAATGACCAAACTACAGGTGTCATCATTTTTGTTTAATAAGATCATAGTTATTTTATGAATAATACCAGGATTTTTTGCCCTTAATCTAAAGCCCTAGAAACTGCAGTTCAGGTTTGTTTGCCAAGATTCTATTTTAGGAAACCCCCAGGAATACATCAAACCCAAATGACCCATATGAGAATGGACTCTGACCTGGTATAAACCAAAGGACCCAACCAAGCACAAAAAAAATGCTACTAAGATTGGGAGAAATTTTTTTCAATAGAATTTACAAAACTTCTAATTGTTCTCTTGTTCAAGTGGTAAATTCTAAAATCCACAGTTTATATGTTATTTCTCCTTTCATACTTCCTATTTGTTCCTCAAACCATTGCAAACTAGCCTTAGTTCTTGATAAAACTGCTCTAATTATGAACAATAGCAATACTCAGTAAAAACATAAAACCTCAATGAAAGCCCTTTTCTTCAGCTCTTATCTTCACCAGGCAACTGATTAATCTTAAATACAACTTTTTCCTGCCTTAGATTTTGGGATATTTCTCTTCCCTGGTTCTCCTGCCTATCTTCTCTATCTCCTCTACCAATTCTACTTTAGATAGGTATCCATGAGTTTCAATATTGTGTTTTCTCTCAATCTTTCCTTTAATTTTCTTATTTTGTAAATCCATCCTATGTGATTTCTTCCATTGTCCATATAGTAGTCAGCATGTATAGGCAGTATCAGATACTGTCTTTATATAGTCTACTTAGAAGATGTATGCTATCACCAAGGAAGCATCTATTAAAATAGCAAAATGGGGAAGGTAGATGGAAAGAGGGACAAGAGAAAGAGAGGACAAACAATGTTGGAATTCAAAGGAAGGAAGGAAGGAAGGAAGGAAGGAAGGAAGGAAGGAAGGGAGAGGGAGAGAGAGATAGAAACATCAGTGATGAGAGAGAATCATTGATTGGCTGCCTCAT